AGTGGTCAACAGGATAGACCTGATCCTAGAAACCCATGGAGCTGGCAGTTCCCACTTACCAGAGGGACACAGCTCAGGCCCACTAGTGACAGGCAGGGGCAGAGGTAGGCAGGGTGTGGAGGCCACGGGCAAAGCCCACAGCAGATTATTCCCCTGGCCATGTCCCCGCCACGCTGCTCAGGAGCAAAATGCACTGAGCCCGGTCACCTGCCACGTGGCGAGCAGAAACTGGTTCATCTGCTTTGCCCTGAAAGCCCAAGCAACAAAGAACAGGGAAACGGCGACACCGTATTCAACACGAGCCAGACACACGCAAACAAGGATCGCGCTCCCCCTCCCCCTGGAAAACATTTGCTGCTGACATGCCTTGGATGAGGCCTCAGCTCCCGCCACCTGCCCAGAGCCAGGCAGGGGCCCTGCACCTCTTTCCGGGAACCCCTGGCTTTGCAGGTCAAAGGGTGATATGGAATCCTGCAGGCAGCCCGGATCAGGCCCCAGTCCCTGGGCAGCAGGGCTTGGGGAAGGCAGCTCCTTCAGTGTCATCACCAGGATAAGCCCCTGTGGGGCCGCCATGACTTCTCCTCGCAGCCGTGCTGAACTTCAAGTTACAGGATTAGTTCAGAAGAGAAAGACACTGGCTGCACACAGAAGCCACGTTCGGGATGCACCCGGAAAGGCTGGGCCCAAAGGTGAGCCTCTACGAGAAGCGAGAACAGGACAGCAAGTTGCATTTATAATGAAGGAACTAGGGCTTGGGGCATCAGTGCTGGGATCTTGGACCACAGGGAAACAAGGCCCTGTAACCGGACGGGACCGTCACCAAAACCGTGGTGAGGGAAAACCTGGTGGCCTGTGTGGCTGTGACTCTCCTTTTGCAGCTGTCCAGCGGTCTCCTCGACTAGCACCCACTCCCTGGAAAACCCCAAAGCCTCTGCCTCCAAGGAGAGACCACCTGCCATTTCTACATCCTTGGTGGTAAGTTTCAAAATCTCATTTTCACCCCAAAGAGCCAAGGAAGTCAGGCCTGGGAGAAGAAACTCAACTCAGGGGTGAGCCTGGATCTGGGGCCAAGACAAGACTAAGCCCAAAGGGTAAGGGAAGATGCAGACCCAGCCAGGAAACCAAACACCGCCCGGAGGCTGGCTCACGCACCTCCTACTTCTGTGCGGTCCTGAAGCTTCTCACCACCTGTGAGCGAGGGGGAGCGAATGCATCACAAAACTGAACTCAGATTGAGAGGACATGTTGACAAGACCCAAAAGCAACACAACTGATCCTGCTTAGAGAAAGCATTTTAGTTACAGCAAATAACAGGCAAGAGGCTGCCAAATGACATCTGTAATGTACGCCCTTCCCCTCGCTTCCAGAGGACTAAAGTAACGATGAACTGTATCAGACCACTGAACTCAGGCTCACTCCACGTGCAAAGCAGCCCACAGCTGAAGCGGGCAAGCAGCACAGATGCGGGCTTGGCACCTGCAGTACGCTGGCTTCACTGTGGCCAATCCAGAACGGCCGCGGAGAAAATACTGCCACATCTCAGCGTCTGCAGCCATACAGACCAGCAGACACACACAGCATCCCCTGCCAACACCTGCACACTCACTGCCCAAGGCTCAGCAAGAGAAGGACAGGCCGCCCCGGCCGGACAGTGGATTTCGGTTCTTTCTCTTCTCTTTTCTTTTATTCATGTGACAGAAGCCACCTCGAGCAGACATCGAACTTAGTCTTCCAGTGGCCCGATTTCTCTCATCCTCTGAGGACGGTTATGTAAGTTCCAAAGACAGAGTAAAGAACGTATTTCAAATCAGATGCCACAGACAGCTCATAAAAGCAGATTTACTAGGGATGCAAGACCAGGTGCTCAAAGGACAGACAGGATAAAAACACCAATAAAGGCGATGGGATGAAAAACACCACCGCGGATGTGAACGGAAAAAGGCTTCCCACATCTTCGCCCCGTATGTTTGGGAAGGTACAAACGTGTGTTCCCTCCTGTGCACTGGCCTCATCAACAGCCGAATATAATGCAAATGTAATAAAAATGATGTACAGTGTACAATCCCATCATAAAATCACCCTCTGTCCCTGTCACCTTCACAACCAGGGCCCTCCACCCCCACCGCCTAATGCTGGATGAAACGAAGTGGCTAATCTTACAAGAGAATTTAGGCCTGTGACAAACTCAGGGTCCCTCAGCCAGGGAAGAAGGGGAGCTAAAATCTTCACAGGAGATGGTGTTGCCAAGCAACCTGATCTCTCTGCTCCTCACAGCATCCTGCAGGGACCCAGCCCCCAGCGAAGGTACAAGGATAAGAGTGCAAATATGCACAAACGGTGAATTCTACGTCTGCCTGCAGTCGCTTTCCACCTGACGGACCACACAAATGCGGAGTAAGGGGTCAAAGCACAAACACAAAATGTTTTGTGTCAATCTAGTTAAATTTGGAAAATCCAAATAATGGTCATTAGCATCAACAGGAATTTAAGATGTGTCAGGAATTCAATGCTTCCCCAAATCCTTGCACCATGTATTTGAGGTAGGTAGCATGGTTATTCCTACTTTACAGATGGGGAAATTAAGGCACTGAAGTATGTGCCAGAGGAGTTGGCTTTTTTTAGTGTTTTGGGTTTTTTTGAAACAGAGTCTCACTCTGTCGCCCAGGCTGGAATGCAGAGGCTGATCACAGCTCACTGCGGCCTTGACCTCCTGGGCTCAAGCTGTCCCCCCACCTAGCCTCCCAAGTAGCTGGGACCATAGGCACTCACCGGCGTGCCCGGCTAATCTGTTCACTTTTTGTAGAGATAGGGTCTCTCTAGGTTGCCCAAGGTGGTCTTGAACTTCTAGGTTCAAGTGATTCTCCTAAGTACAGGGATTACAGGTGTGGGCCACCACACCCGGTCCAGGGTTGGGATTTGAACACAGCAGTCCATCTTTCTAGGCCATGTTCTTAACCACTGCACCTTACTCCCCAAAACTGAGGGCAGTGCAATTGTAGGTAGGTTCTGCAAACTCAACGCCTTTATCCTGAAGCCTGGGGGATGCTTTCCAGACTAAAGTGAACTGAGATTAGCAACTAGTGGGGACATGGGATCAGTCACACCTTCCTGCACTTTTATCAAATATCTGTATATGAATGGCGGGCACCCACCACATGAGAGGAGGCAGTGGTACAATGGTTTTCTGGAGCTGGGATGTCCTGGGCCTATGGCCTAGTTCTGTTACTCTCAGCTGCATGAACTCAGGGCAGTTACTTCTCTAAGTATCACTGTTGCCATCTGCAAATGGGCATAATGCAGTCCTCACTTCATGAGCCTGTTTTGTGGGTTAAGTGAATGCATGCATGATAATTAGGAACTGCTAACACAGTCACCATAAGTGCAAGAGGATTAAATAATTCCACAAATAAAAACTTTCTTTTTTTTTTTGAGACACAGTCTTGCTCTGTCACCTGGGCTGGGACGCAGCGGCACATCTCAGCTCACTATAGCCTTCGCCTCCCAAGTTCAAGCGATTCTCCTGCCTCACCCTCCTGAGTAGCTGGGATTACAGGCGGGAGCCACCACGACGGGCTAATTTTTGTATTTTTAGTAGAGATGCAGTTTCACCTTGCTGGCGAGGCTGGCCTCGAACTCCTGACCTCAGGTGATCTGCCAGCCCCGTCCGACCTCCCAAAGTGCTGGGATTACCGGCATGAGCCACAGTGCCCAGGCATAAAAACTTCCTTTAGCCACAGTCTCACCATAAAAATGCCACTTACAAAAAAATATGTGCAACAGAAAACACAACCACCACACTCAGGATATGAACAACAGCCATTCATGAACTTTGTAGTTAATACTAAAAGTTACTCCTCACTTTACTCTTCATTTGCAAAAGCTTTCGTGGTTCTTAAAAGTGTTTAGTATTCACCAATTTTACTGTTATCGTTTCTAATGAGGATTTGCTAAAACTGAGGCATGGATTTGAAAAAGTGCTCTAATCAGTTGGTAGCAGATTTGGAATGGAATCCCCAGCCCCCAGTCTTTGCACCCACCCTCTGGCAACATGCTGCCTCACGTGAGCATCTTGAAGACTGATTTCCCTTTTTATTCCAGATAAAAGAATTAGGTGTCTTCGGTAGAAAAGAAAGTAGATCTTTAGGCTGAAGTCGCAGAAGCTGGCCAGTCAGCCCAGCTTCTCATATGAACTCGACCCGGGCAGTAGAACAAACTTTACCATAAGGAACGCAAGACTAACTTTTGTTACCTCTTTTCTATTCATTTTCTATTTCTGAATGGAATCTGAACTACTTTGTGGCCAACATGCAACACCAGCTTCCCACTGTGGGAATCACAGGATTTCAGCATTCAGCGGCTTCCGGCAGGATCCCCTGGGTTACGTTTAGCAATCTTCAGCTGCCTTTTTTTTCTTTTTCTCTTTCTTTCCTTTCGTTCTTTTTTTTTTTTTTTTTTTTTCTTTCCAAAGGAAAGAACAAGGGAGGCGAGCCCAGGCGGAACGGAAGTGAGTATCCCGACACGCGGATCTCAGGCAGCCCAGACCACCGAGCCCTACAGGCCGGGAACGCTGAGCGCGCGCCGCTGGGGAGACGCACACTTCGGGGGCTGTGTGGGCGCGCGCTGGCACCCCACAAGTTCCCATGCCTCTGCTCCGCCGATCCGGCCAGACAAAGACCGCAAGTTCCCCGGCCCACGGCTCCAGGCAGGCGGGGACCAGTCTCCCCGAATTAGGCCCGTTCCGGGCCCCCGGCGCCCTCACCCGCCGCGAGGGGAGTCCCCGGGTGCCCCTGCGTGATCGGGGTCCTCCCGCAACGCCCCCGCTCCTGCTGGCGCCCTGCGCTCGGAGGACTGCGGCCGGACCCCGGCCCCTCCCCGGTCCCGCGGCTGCAGGCCCACGCGCCCCGCGCGCCCCCGCCCCAGCTCCGCCTAAGAGCCCTGCCCGGGACTCCGTGGACCCTCGGACCCCGCCCCCGCGGCCCCGTCCGGGCCCCCATACCCACCCGGGTCCCGCTGCGGGGGCCGGATTCGCGCCGGCTCTCAGAGCCGCCACCGTCGCCTCCGCCGCTGCCGCCGCCTGTGAGGCGCGGCGGGGCGGGGACGCGCGGGGAGGCCCGGCCCCCGGCCCGCCCCCGGCCCGCCCCCAGGCCCGCCCCCCAGGCCCGCCCCCAGGCCCGCCCCTGCCGTGCTTCCCGCCCGCCTTCCCGCCCAGCCCTGGGCGCACGCCCCTGGTTCGCGGCTGGCCCTCCCTCAGGCCTCGCTGCGCCCCCGCCCGGGGGACTGTGCCCGGGCCCGAGCCCCGCGCCCCCGGGGAAGACACGGGCCCCCTCGGACGCTCCGCGAGCGCGCTCGCCCTCGGCCGCCGCCCCCTGCAGGGAAATTTCGGAAATTTCTCCTATTTGGGGCTAGGAAGGGACGACACCCTCGGGAAGACCCCCGGGCGTCCCTGCTTCCCGAGGAGTCTCCGTAGGACCCCTGGAGAGGAGCACCGGAGCTCCCCAGGGCCGGAGACGGAGAAGCGCGCCAAGCGCGGGGCACCCGGCCCCCGGCACCGCAGCCCGCCGGCCACTCCCGGGCGCCTAGCAGTGCGGAGGCCCCGGGTGCCCGGCCGGTCCCTCCAGGGCCTCGAGACGCCCGCTGGGCGCACGCAGACGCCGCTGTCGCTTTAGAGAACCGGAGTGCAGGCGAGGCGGGACCCGGGCGCAGAGAGCGATCGAGGAAACGCACGGTCGTGCTCTGACCATTGCAGTCTAAGGGATGACACCTCGGAGGTGGCACAAAGGCCGCGCCGCCCCCGGAGACCCCCGCCCTCGCCGCGCGCGTCGTCCTGGCCCCGCCGGATGTTGACAGCGTCGCCTAGCAACGGGAGATGGCGGAGCCCGGCGGCGCGGCAGGCGGGTAAGCGGGGTCGAGGGGCCGCGGGTCTTGGTCCCCGCGTCGCCCCCTGCCTCGCCCTTCGCCTCCACTTCCCCTTCCTCTCGCCTGTGTCCTCCCTTCTCTCGCCGTTTTGCTGGCCTTTCCCACCCACCGCGTTCATGCCCCCCCCACCCCCGCCAACCCTTCTCACTTCCCCCCTCCTGTCCCTTTGTCCTCTCCCGGCCTCCCTCTTTCCTACTCTAAGCGTGCGACTCCGTCTCAAACCCGGGCCCGCTGGCTCTGCTGTCACCATGGCAACCACTCTGCTTGGCGGTCCCCGCGCGGAGCCCTCCTGAAAACAGGGTCCTGCAGGGCGCGGGTCTGTCGGATGCAGCCCCTGACCTTGCGCCTGGGCCACTCACTGTGGCCGGAGACCAGGCCGGTCCCCCTCCTCCCTCCTGCAAGGACGGATTCCCTCTCCCTGGCTTGGGGGGTGACCCGCGATGGGAGGGGTCCCTGCGGCTAGGCGGCCCCGCGGTGGACCAAGGTCACCCCCCTGGGGCCTGGGCGCGCACAGGGAGGGCGGCTGGGTGAAAATCCACCCACCTCTGCCATCCGTCCTCTGCTTACTTAGGCTGTTTAAAAGGATAGAAACAATTTGAAAAAAAATTGGCCTTTTTACCGTAGTCACTTCCATATTCTTTCATTTTTTTTAAGGTGGGTCTGTAGGTACTGACACAGAAAGACTAAAGATATTAATAAAATGATAGGCATAAATGTAAAACAGCAGGTATAGTTTGATCTCTAATAAAGGGTGTGTGTGTGTGTGTGTTTAAAGCACAGAAAAAAATGTCGAAAGACTGTAATCCTAAATATTACTGATGATTATCTTGGGAAGGAAAGGGAAGACCACAGGAAGCTCTCACTGTCTTGAACGTATCTGTATTCCTTTGCCAGACAAAAATAGCTTGGATCTTTAATTTTTAAAAAAAGCAAAAAAAAAAAAAAAAAAAAAAAA